GTTCAAGGGTGTTCTTTATCATAGAGAACCATATTAAGTGAATGACAGGTATCTTTAAGACCTTCCCAGGGATCTAAGAATGCATTGAATAAAGACTAAAAATGCTTTGAAATGTTACAAACCCAACATAATATGGACAATTATGTTTCTGTGCTCATTGCAAGACAGAGCTCTTCCAAAGACAATGCCAGTTTGGGAAACCCACCATTATACAGTCCTTGTTTCAAAGCTTAAGTTCTGCTTCGAATGGATGGATTGTTGGTTCTTTTCAATGTAAGGGTAATGTGTCCCCCTGTTAGAGGAAACAGGATAGGAGATAAAAGGTAAAATCAGTGCAATTTTCCAGTGCTGAAAATATTATAATTCAGGCCCAATAACTATAACAAAAAACAAAAATCGCAAAAAAGCCTCTAAATTGCCATATAGTACTACACTGTTAATGATAGGAAGTATACTGGCTCTTTCCCTCAGCTTTTAACCCCTAGATTTAATGAACGATCATTTCAATAACACATTATTGTAAAATTAATGATTTTAATTCACCTATCAGTAATTATAACACATTTTCTAATGCGAGTTACAATATATACTGTTGGGTGATAGCATTATGATGACGACAGTAAAAACTCAACGTGTTTCCTCAGAAAACTAACAATATAATTTAAAGTTATTTGAAAGTCACTGTGTTTAATACCACATCTACTGTACACAACAAATCACTCTACAAAAACGGTCTGGTCAAACTTTTTGTTTCTCTCATGTATATTATTTTATATTTGCAAATATTGTAACACATATCTTACATATACTCCTCTTTACTAACTATAATATTACTTTCCTTGTTTATTCACAAATCATACAATCCACATAAATAAATTCATTAAAGCACAGACAGTATTCACAGAAAGGTTATTCAAAAAAAAAAAAAAAAAAAAAAAAAACATAGATGAATATAAATACTGAGATCCTAACCCAGGAACAGAATGGACAAAACAAACACAAAATCACATCATTATCACACGTTCAGATGCATGCACTGAAGAAGCCACACATTCTCAGCATGCGGTGTTCACAGCTGAGAAAACAGATTGGCTTTGTTTGTTTGTTGGGTCTCCTCTCCCTGCTTGTTTGCTGTGTTTCAGCCAATGGAAAACTAGCATCTTGAGGATCATTAAGGGGCTAAAGAGAGCTCTTTTGATCAGATGCTTGCGCCTTCCAAGGCATGCTTCTTCTGTGCCCATCAGTGTGCATGTAAATATGCATAAACATGTGTCTGAACTGGTTTTTGGATGTGTTGTGGAGCTGCTTAGGTGGCCGCGCGTTTGGTAGGAGTTTGCAAACATCTATGACAGGCGGTCACAAAGACCAAGATTAGGAGTGTTTTAAAGGCAGGTGCCACTGTTCAATCTTCTTGTTGTCCCACAGTTCATCAGTTTCCTGTAAATACGGTGACAGGTGGATCCGCCTCAACTGTGTGCCGATACAATATTTGGCTGCCAGTGTATCAGCTTTGGCTTCAACAGGAGTCCTCCTCTGTTTACCATGCCAAGTTGTGATTGACAATCAGATGCTTTGAAATGTAGAAATCAAAGTGCTTTTGATAAAGAGTTTTCTTTTTATATTTTAGTATTTCAGAATGAATGAATACTTTGAAGGAAAGTATTTGCCACCTAAAATCAGGAACTGTTTTTGTCACCCTTAGTGACAACAACTTAAATGTTAATAAAAAGTGGTATGTCTTTTAAATTAGTTTTTTGCAGAGGTGTTTTGATTTGGTCGGAGCGAATATACAGTAAATGGCCTGTTAAAATCGATGTTAAAGCCATACATCTTAACATCACAAACTTTGACTGCATTTATCCAAATCCTCTGTTTTATATTGCTCTTCGAGCAGGTATGCTTTGAGAATTTGACCTATTATATATTAAATACTCTTAGCCTCTCAAAACCCACCGGGTCGCCTGCGACTCGTTTTAATGCGTTTAAAAACTATAACTTAAAATGCATGAAAATTACAGTGGTAAAACCAATATAGACATGTTAGACATCGTTGGAAAACTTAAATTCTCCAAAATTCAATCACCAAGGTTATTTTTCAATTACCAGAGACAATTAACAAATATATAGCAGCATGTCAAAATGTAACATGAGAAAGCAGGCACAACAAGCAAGCATGTCTTTATTACTGCTGTTCAAATAAAACCTACTATTTTCGAGAATAAAAAAAACTATTTTGAGTCATGTTTAAACTGATGCAATGTTCATGTATATATTCAGAATCTAGAAGGTGTTAGCTTTGACATAATGTATCACACATGTTTTTTTGGCTTACAGTTCCTAAGTTATTTGCTTCTTCTTTTGGGTATGCAAATAAGGCAAGAATCTCCCAAAATGAGGTGGATGTTAACAGAATAAATCTAAAACCATAAATTGGTAAAAAGACAAATCATTTTCACGGTTTTCCAGTAGAGGTCATAGTTTCTTTGTTTGAGCAAAGCACTATGGGTCAACCAAATTCAACCACTATGCTTAGTCAACAGTATAACAATCTTTGTGTAAGATACTGCTAGATTTACACTTAATGTAAAATAACCCCAGATTCTTACACTCCCTTGTGATCAGTTTCCCCAAAGACTTGTGGAACATCCTGTGTTTTTTGGAAAAATGTGACAAAGGCTAAGTTTGAGCTGTGGTTTTCATTCTTGAACCATCCTATGAATGTCAGAACTGCCATGAATCTTGGTTTGTAAATAAGGCAAAATAGGATGGCAAAGTATATTGTTCTGGATTCTTTCGTGACCTAATTGATCAGTCATCAGTGCACCGTTGAAGTACTTTTGGTTAATCTGCCAATCTACTTGCCATGTTTCCAACTAATTGAATTTTTCAAAATGTTGGTTAAAGGAAAACGTAAATAAGTTGTATCTGCTGGTTTGAAGTAAATGGACAAAATGAGGCATGCAACAGGAAGTAGAGGTTGCAAACTAGCATGGACCACACATCTAAGAAAAAGCGGTGACGTCATCTAGTACTAGCAAAGTTTCATGCAGACTTAGACAAACTTTATTGTCAATACATACAGCTTTTCAACAGTGAATTTCTCAAGTGCAGCAGTGATCAAAATTTAAACTGTAGAGAGAGTAGGAGAGACATGGTACAAAAGGCTTTGATGTGGAAGGTTCAGAGCAGACGATGGAGACAAAGAAATGAAATTCTAATGTATGTCCAGGAAGACGACACTGTCCATCCATTCCATTTTCTAAAACACTTAATCCCAAGTGGGGTCGCTATCTCCAGCTGTCAATGGGCGAGAGGCGGGGTACACCCAGGCCACCACAGGGCAAACAACCACTTTTAGAGATAAAGCCAATGACCTTTAGACAATTAACCTAACAGTCATGTTTTTGGACTGTGGGAGGAAGCCAGAGTGCCCAGAGAGAACCCACATATGCTCAGGGAGAACATGCAAACTCCATGCAGAAAGACCCTGGGCTGGGAATCAAACCCAGAACCTTCTTGCTGCAAGGCAGCAATGCTACCCACTGCTCCACTGAGCAGCTCAAGACAACACTGGTAACAGTTAATCAGCCATGTGCGTTCAATGTTTGCTACATCAGAACTTCTGCAAATGCATTTAAATCTTGCATTTAGCGCATGAACTCATATTTGCAAAATGAAAAAAACACCTCAAGCAGAAATAAAAAACTTTTGCGAAACTGAGAATAATCTTTAAATTTTTGTCTTTTGTATCAACCTTTTCAAATGCATCATTCTTGATGGAGTAAACAAGGATGGAAACAGTGTTTAGTTTAGACAATTTTGGATCATAATTTTGTAAATTATGATCACAAAAACCGAATTCTGAATATTTTTGTTTGAAAAAAACTGAAAACAGAACAAACACAATGTAACCTAAATCATCTTAATGAAGGGGAGCAGAATGGAGAAAATGTTCCTCTCTTACACAAATATTTAAACTAATGATAACTTTAAGTGTTTAAATAAGTTGGCCGACATGCAACTGACTAAATAAATACATAAACATTAAGTCTTACCGTTCCCCTCATTTGGCTTCACTTTGTCAGATAAAGGCAAGCTTGGTGTATGGTCAGAAATATTAAAGCATGATAAAGAAGCAGAAGCAGCATAAATCTGTTTCACACATCCCTGTTAATCACCTGCAACAGAGGCCGCATGGTTTCAGGGTTACTACTATGCTCTATGTCGTCTTGGCAATCGTTAGTAGGAATAGGGGTGAGTTTAAAATGTGCAGCAGCAGTGGTGTAGAAAAAGACATCCAAGTCTAGATGATGATAGCTTTTGTCAGTCCACCCTGTTTTACACCCTACTCCCCCACCTGCCTCTTTGTATTTCCATTCCTCATTTGCTTCCAAGAGCCTCTGCAGCTCTCTCCTTCTTCCCATCTTACATATTTTTCCTGCTTTCCTTTCTTTTGCTTGTTTGCTTTACTTTTCTGTTCATTCTCAACCTCTTTTTATCTCTGTTCTCACACAATGTATTGTGAAGAAGCGGCTCATCAGACGGAGACATCCATCCAAATGGCTGGATTTGTCAAAACAAACTGAGACAAACATTCTCCCTGAACAAAAAGAAGACGCAGCTTGAGCAGCAACACCTCTCTGATGTTTTTTTAGGCTTCAGGCTGTGCAAACAACAGAATAAATGTTGTTTGTGTGTCTGAAAGGCTTCACTATTATGCCCCCTCTGTGTCAATGCTCCCCATGCCAAGTTACCAACTGCATCCTTGTGCCCCAGTGGCGGCCATGAAGTTGGATGTTTGCCAGCTGAATGTAGATGCCAATTAACAAAGTCAAGGTTGCATTTAGTATTGAATTTGTTCCAGTCCGGAGTCTACTGAGTCTAGCATCAGTCAAGGAAGAAAAGATGGTTGGGCCACTTTCAGAATATTCACTGAAACATCTGCTTTGCTCTAAATGCTAATGAATCCCTTTCTTCTTTTTGTTTGTATACGTTTACAGCTGCGGGCTCATGCGGTGGACATGAACGGGAACCAGGTGGAGAACCCAATAGATCTGTACATTTATGTGATCGACATGAATGACAACAGACCCGAGTTCCAAAACCAGGTTTATAATGGCTCAGTGGCTGAAGGGTCCAAACCAGGTAAGAGGGACAAAAGCTCTGCGTGGCAATACATCCGTTCCCATAGGTCAAATCACCAAAACAAGGTTGCATCACTCATAGATCAACTTATTTCAAGCAACTTGACCATCAGCTGGACTAATCAGGAATCAGGAATAATCATTCATAGAAAAAATCTAGAAAGTCAGTTGTTTTTTTTAAATTCACCCATTAATAATCTGTCCTGTGTTGATTCACCACAAGTCCTTTGGATTATGTCACACTGTACCAATTTGGCACATCTATAGGCTCTATAGACTAATCCTTACTCACATAAAACAAATATAAAATCGATTCTTCTTAAGTCTTGACAGAGATTCCTAATAGGATTTTCATCTGGTCATGACCAGGTGGACTTTAACGGATATATATGATTTTACCCAAACCATTTCACTGCAGCTCTGGGCGCTTTTCTATTTAATGTTCGGCTTGTCTAGTTTTGAATATTAAAAAAATATGTTTCTGGTTCAGAGAAATTAAAGATAGGCCTATTTGTTGTCATTTAAAAGTAGACACCCAATTTGACCACAAAGATATTTTAAGACTCTAGTAGGTGTTGTTTCTTCTGTACACATAGAATTTCTCTTTTAGAAAAATGTGTGAAATGTATGTTATTAAAACCATCAGTGCTCTGCACCCAGAAACACAAATTTATCATACTTTCAAAATGTGTAAAGAGAACTTTTCTTACATTTGTGAACAATAACACAGTAACATTTTAAACTCATTTAAAAGATTTAATTTTAACTCCAAAGATGCAATGAAGTCCTTCCTCATAAATGAATGCAAAGCAAAATCACGGAACATTTACATTACCTGTAGATTATGACCTGGATGTAAGCAGGTAAAAACATGGTAAGACCAAACTGACTTTCAGACATCAGAAGTATGAGAAACAGGACTGACATGAGGAGTGGGTCTGAAAAACTGACACTGACATAATGAATTGTCTGAGAAGGGAGAAATTCTATTCCCCTACCGAGAGACAGGAGGGTATATTAAATATTTAAACTGTTTTCATTAAGGAGCATATATGTTTCTATTTTTACAGCTAACAACCATGAGAATATGTAATCACATGTGGCCTACAGACATCTCCAGATTCCATAACAGTATTCAAATAAACTGCACATATGCCAGCTATGTCACTGTATAGTCAGGGTATTGGCAGGAAAGGGACAAAAGGGAAAAAGTTCCTCGATACTCTGCGCTGTTGGAGAAGCAGCTGTTATATCTGCTCTTAGGTCTCACAGGAAACCTATGTGTCACCTTGTACAGTATAATATTTAACTTAAACTTATATTTAATTCTAAACTAGTCTTTAATGTGTATTTAGGAATGTGCATTATGCTCATGATGTTGTTTTCTATTTACAAGGGTTGCACGCTCTCTGTTTTTGGACACAGCAAACTGGCAAACAGTGTAGTATATTCCCTATTCCAAAATAAGCTCTATTAGTATAGTTAATTCTTGTTAGAGAAAAGAAGTGCAGAACAAATGCGCCTCTGGGAATAAAAAAAAAAAGATGGATCATAGAAAACAAAAATGGTAATTTCAAATACCTCAGAAGCACAGAGATTTTGCTTTTATATTATATATCAAAACAGAACCAATGTTCTATTTTTCTCTTCGATTTTTCAGCCAAATAATGAAAAAAGAAGCTCAAACTTTAATCTTATTTATTAAAACCATAAAAAACACACTTTTTTGGTGTGTTTTTTTTTTTTTACTGTGCTCTCTAAGGAGAAGTAGTGTTACCAGAAAAATAAACCGATTTTTATAACATAATCATATATTGAGATTAAATTAATTACTGTCGGTCTGTACGATATACAACTTTATACCAAAAAAACTGAATACAGACCTGTCGGTTTCATAACCATATGTTTTGAAAAAAATACAATACAGTTTCATGCTTGTGCACATGGATTTTATTTATATTTGGAATTAAATTAAAACCTTATGTAATGAAACTTTGAAGAGCGACAACCAAAACAAAGCAGAGAGGACTCCCAACTCCCAAACTCACACTGAACTACTGTAATGCTCCTTTAAAAAGACTCTTAGACAGTCAGCAATGGTCAACACAAATTAAGACATGATGAAACTAAAAAAACTGTCCTAAAGAGATAAAAGTTTTCATACATCTACATTATGTGCAAAATGAACAGATTGACAATCTGAAAAAAGGCTCCCTTAAAAAATTCAATGAAAAAAACAAACTTAAAGCTTGTATATGTTTTTATGCACCTTAATATGATAAGCATAAACAGTCTTTTTATATAACATTTTTATAATAGCGAACAATTTAATCATGCAGCTTGTGTGCTCCTATAGTTTTTAATCCAGCAAAAATCAAAGCGAGAAAAGTCCTGATTCAATCACACTGCAAGAAATCTATATGAAATAAATGATATTTCCTCCATTTTATTGAGTTTCTCAGAACAAAGCACATGCTCAACAACAGCACATAACGCTGTGCCATCAGACACAGAACAGGAGGTACTGCTGTTTTTACACACAGAACTCGGTGTACCCAGACTCAACTTTATTTGTAGTTGTCGGAGTCGCACAGAGCCATGAAATACCTTTAAATCCTAGAAGGTAATGGCTTAAAATTAAAATCAATTTTAATTAATTCATAAAAAAATAATCACTTCAACTAATACTTCTGTGTGGTTTCAAGCTGTTCTCTGCTGAGGATTACTAATGCAATAATCCAGCTGGAGCAGACTATTGGGTGATTTATGAGTTACTAAAAGGTTTTAATGGATTACTTATATTTAATTAATATCACAAATTGCAGGAAGAAAAATGTTTTGAGTTGCTTTAATGCCTGAACTCTTATCACTCAAGGATCCTGCCTATTAATCTCCCCAATCAAATGTTGTCATATCATTCCTTTAGAAAACCAGGCATGAGGATTTGAGTAATTTCACAAACAGCTGACTTCCTGAGATGTTTGCATGCCGGTCCTGGCTGCATGCATCATTATCAGAATCTGCGGACCATGGAGACATGCAGACTCTTCTCCCTGAACTGCTAGGCAGCAGAGTTTGTGGTCAGCTCAAGACCAGAGACATGAGCTGAATGTTCAAGTATTTCTCACGTCTTGACAGGAAGAGCCCATGTTGTAGCAATCAGACCCCAAGGACCCATGTTTGTCTTCATAGCAATCAGATATTGTTCTGCTGCGAAGTTTAATCTCAGGGGGATTTGTAAACAATATAGGAAGGCTTGTTGTGGAAGTGTGTGCATGGATGAACAAGTATGGGGTTGTGTGTTCTTGTCTTCTACTCGGTGGAGCGTGGGTCTATCTACAGAGCTCCTAATTAGCTGGGGCAACCAGACATTCCAAAAGCTTCTTCCTTTGTTTTTCAATCTGAGGCTCTCTGCGTGCTTTAAAACGAGAGCAGACAACGACAAAACAGTTTTGTATCCAACAGAATGAAATCTGTGGTTCTTATTAACAAGAAACGCATCCCTCTATGAGCAGAGTAATTGCCCTTCCCTTTCATTGAGCCGTCTGTGCCATGTACTATTTGTTTGTGGAGCACACTCTGTTAGGTGTTATGAGTGTGGTGTCAAAAAGAGAATAGCGTAAGTGACGAGTTCAGCCCTTTTTGTCTCTATTTTTACTGAGCCATTGTTCCCTGAATTGCTGAATTTAAATTTTTTTAAAAGACAATGTGTTTGCCTAATTGCCTTTTTAGTTAAAGAAAACAAGAAGCTTTTGTGATTCATCTCCAACTGGGTTTCAAGGAGATTCTTTTTATGTTTTTTTTTCTTTCCTGGGCTATTTAAGCCTTAAGATTTTACTCATCTAACATGTGCCTAGTTTATACCTGGAGTTAATTGGCTCACGTTTTTGCTGAACCTGCTTTTTATACCCTACGGCTCTGATTCCTTCCCTGCAGTTTAAGAACACGGCCACATCTGAGATACAAATCCGTGTTGAAGTACATTATTAACCTCAAATATGACTTTGACTCTTTCTAAATCTTTTTTGAAAGAGCATAATTTCCAAATCATAACTTTAGGCAAGATCCAACCAAGACCAGAAGAATTTAATTCTTACTAAGGTTATAACAGTCAAGTCTGGTTTAATTTTTTTAACCAGTCCACCATCATATTAGAAATTCTAAGATAAAGTTTTAGCTCTTCTGATTCTGTCTTAATGTTTTAATTGAATATTCAACATTCAAAACCAACATCTTCATATCCACATATTTTACTTGAACATGAATAAACCATTGGCAGCGTCAGCTATAGTGTTAGCTTCACCCATATCTTAAGGAAGTTATTACAGAGTGCAAATTGATAATAATTATTGTAATGATCATTTTCTAAATACATTTACATTCTTGCCTGCTTCATAGGTGTTAAAACTGATGTAGAGACAGTAGAAACAGAGGAAATGATGAGGAAGAGACTTCAGAGAAACAGTAAAGTTACTGCTGTAAATTATGTCAGCTTTCCTAGGTGTCAAATCTTGGTGCAATAGTCAGAAGAAAAACATTTTCACAATACATAATCTTACCCAAAACATCTTCTCAGAATGCTTGATTTATGATTCTGACAGCAAACTTACTTTGTATTAATCTGCCCACATAGGGACATTCATAGGAAATTGAAATGTATTTCCCAGATAGTCTGATTATCCTGATATGGGAAAAAAGAAAATAAAATTACACATCTTAAGTAACCAGAGGTGGAGAATTAGGGTCTAGAAAGTAGAAACTCCGCCTAGTTTTTTTCATCCAGTTCACTTAATCAGATTATTAGCTCCCAGCCTGGGTTGTGGCTGGAAATGCAAATGGTTGGAACTGATATCTGTACAGGCATTTTACATTCTGGGCCTGGTTTATCCACCTCTGAAGTAACTTACCAACATCTTTCTGCACTGTTGATCCCAGTTCATAAGCACCAGTCAGACTGGGATTGCATAAAGAGCAGGACAGGTACTTTAAAGGTGTTACAAT